AAAAAGGACTGGACTGATGCTGAGTGGTCCAAAGTTATGTTTTCTGATGAAAGCAAGTTCTGCATTTCCTTTGGAAATCAAGGACCCAGAGTCTGGAGGAAGAGCGGAGAAGCACAGAATCCATGTTGCATGAGGTCCAGTGTAAAGTTTCCACCGTCAGTGATGGTGTGGGGTGCCATGTCATCTGCCGGTGTTGGCCCACTCTGTTTCCTGAGGTCCAGGGTCAATGCAGCCGTCTACCAGGAAGTTTTAGAGCACTTCATGCTTCCTGCTGCTGACCAACTTTATGGGGATGCAGACTTCACCTTTCAACAGGACTTGGCACCTGCACACAGTGCCAAAACCACCAGCACCTGGTTCAAGGACCATGGTATCCCTGTCCTTGATTGGCCAGCAAACTCGCCTGACCTTAACCCCATAGAAAATCTATGGGGTATTGTGAAGCGGAGGATGCAATACGCTAGACCCAACAATGCAGAGGAGCTGAAGACGACTATCAGAGCAACCTGGGCTCTCATAACACCTGAGCAGTGCCACAGACTGATCGAGTCCATGCCACGCCGCATTACTGCAGTTATTGAGGCAAAAGGAGCCCCGACTAAGTATTGAGTGCTATACATGCACATTCTTTTCATGTTCATTCTTTTCAGTTGGCCAACATTAGAGAAACAAACATTTTTTCATTGGCCTTTAGAATATTCTAATTTTCTGAGATACCAGATTTGATGTTTTCATTGGTTGTCACCTATAAATATCAAATTTAAATGTAATGAACATTGGAAATACATTGGTCTGTGTGCATTGCATGAATATAATGTACAAGTTTCACGTTTTGAATGGAATTACTGAAATATTTTCAACCTTTTGATGATATTCTAATTTACTGGCCAGCACCTGTAATTATAGAAATTAAAGATTCTTAAACGATCCCAACTCTCTCTTTTCTTGTCTCTAAGTCAATACAAAGTGTTTACATAAAACTCCCTGAAGTAAAAACAACCTCTTCTGATTATAATATCTGGACCTAATAAACAGTGTAAGAATATACAACTATATTCCACTACACTCGGAATAGAGACGCTGCTCCTCTATGAGTCTACAGTCGCCATCATGTGAAATTCCAAGTTTTGGGCCTAAAAAAGTATCTTGTGCTGATCACGTGTGTCTTTGTGATGTCCAATGCGGCTAAGCCTACTCCACAGCCTTCTCTACCACGACTGTAGGAACCTGGGCCCCCTTTGGGTATCATGCTCAGGGAGTTCACAGGGCTGTAAATGACAAACTACTGTCTATTCACACAAGATATTTGTAAAGTTTGACCCTGAAATGGCATGTGCTCAGAAACTGCTAAGTGTCTTTGGCACACTTTCGGAAACCGGTACAATTGGACTTGTATGACGATGTGGCACTCTGAAGCTGACAGTGTTGGGAGTAACGCAGTACAAAAGTACTTAATTACTGTAATGCATTGCTTTTTGCTGTAATGTGGTAATGTAAGGCATTACAGGGAAAGAAAATGGTAATATTTACTCTGTACAATTGTCAGTAACGCGGTAATTACAATGCATTTTTAAACCCAGAATCAAGATGTGGGTTTCCTAAAAATTCAAATTGCGGGAAGCCTGAAAAAATATCCAGTATCCACATATATGACATCATTTATGGACTCAGCTTTGCGGGCATTCTCTGAGCAGAGAGGACGCAGCGGTGATGGCTCAGATACTCCAGCTGCGTCCTGCGCGCGGCCGCTGTTATATTCACAAAATCGCTCCACCAAAACAAAATAATTTGTTTGTGATTGTTTATATCAGCCCATATTATCTGGTACTTCAAGTACTTTTCAGCTGAGTTCATAATCTGTGCGCCGGTGATTTCAACTCCTTACTGCTGGAGCGCAGCACATATTAAGCTTTTTTTTTTTTTTTGCGTTCGGTAGATCCCTTTGGCTGATAGTTAGAAAGTAGGACATCTAGGAAACAGTTTTTCTGGAAGACGGAGAAAACATGCAGCATGCAGGAAGGTTAGAGAGAGAAAGGGCCGGAAATTATTCACATAAAATCAAGAAAAAAAAACAAAGCGCTTGAAAAGAAAAAAAAAAGTAGGTAGATTTATCCCCAATACACATTTTTACCAGTGAAAAGCAATAATATATAAGCATTTAATATTTATACATGTGATAGAAACAGATCACCCCAGAAGTCAGTCCCACATCCAGGGCCGTATCAAGGCATTTGAGGACCAAGGCAAATATAGGCTTGGAGCCCCCACCACCTCACTCCCTGCTCAGTTAATCTAAGATGGCAGCGTGCTGAGAGTACAGATGTTGTTGTTTTTATTTAATAAACAATCATTTTAAAGCACTGTTATTATATCTGACTGTTTTTAACAGCAATCCTAGCTCAGACACCACATCACCTTCCACATACAGGTGCTGGCCAGTAAATTAGAATATCATCAAAAGGTTGAAAATATTTCAGTAATTCCATTCAAAACGTGAAACTTGTACATTATATTCATGCAATGCACACAGACCAATGTATTTCCAATGTTCATTACATTTAAATTTGATATTCATAAGTGACAACTAATGAAAACTCCAAATTTGGTATCTCAAAAAATTAGAATATTCTGAAAAGGCTGAATATAGAAGACACCTGCTGCCACTCTAATCAGCTGATTTACTCAAAACACCTGCAAAGGCCTTTAAAAGGTCCCTCAGTCTTGTTTTGAAGGCACCACAATCATGGGGAAGACTTCTGACTTAACAGCTGTCCAAAAGACAATCATTGACACCTTGCACAAGGAGGGCAAGACACAAAAGGTGATTGCTAAAGAAGCTGGCTGTTCGCAGAGCTCTGTGTCCAAGCACATTAACAGACAGGCGAAGGGACGGAAAAAATGTGGTAGAAAAAAGTGTACAAGCTCTAGGGATAACCGCACCCTGCAGAGAATTGTGACGACAAACCCATTCAAAAATGTGGGGGAGATCCACAAAGAGTGGACTGCAGCTGGAGTCAGCGCTTCAAGAACCACCACGAGGAGACTCATGAAAGACATGGGATTCAGGTGTCGCATTCCGTGTGTCAAGCCACTCTTGAACAAGAAACAGCGCAAGAAGCGTCTCGCCTGGGCCAAGGACAAAAAGGACTGGACTGATGCTGAGTGGTCCAAAGTTATGTTTTCTGATGAAAGCAAGTTCTGCATTTCCTTTGGAAATCAAGGACCCAGAGTCTGGAGGAAGAGCGGAGAAGCACAGAATCCACGTTGCATGAGGTCCAGTGTAAAGTTTCCACCGTCAGTGATGGTGTGGGGTGCCATGTCATCTGCCGGTGTTGGCCCACTCTGTTTCCTGAGGTCCAGGGTCAATGCAGCCGTCTACCAGGAAGTTTTAGAGCACTTCATGCTTCCTGCTGCTGACCAACTTTATGGGGATGCAGACTTCACCTTTCAACAGGACTTGGCACCTGCACACAGTGCCAAAACCACCAGCACCTGGTTCAAGGACCATGGTATCCCTGTCCTTGATTGGCCAGCAAACTCGCCTGACCTTAACCCCATAGAAAATCTATGGGGTATTGTGAAGCGGAGGATGCAATACGCTAGACCCAACAATGCAGAGGAGCTGAAGACGACTATCAGAGCAACCTGGGCTCTCATAACACCTGAGCAGTGCCACAGACTGATCGAGTCCATGCCACGCCGCATTACTGCAGTTATTGAGGCAAAAGGAGCCCCGACTAAGTATTGAGTGCTATACATGCACATTCTTTTCATGTTCATTCTTTTCAGTTGGCCAACATTAGAGAAACAAACATTTTTTCATTGGCCTTTAGAATATTCTAATTTTCTGAGATACCAGATTTGATGTTTTCATTGGTTGTCACCTATAAATATCAAATTTAAACGTAATAAACATTGGAAATACATTGGTCTGTGTGCATTGCATGAATATAATGTACAAGTTTCACGTTTTGAATGGAATTACTGAAATATTTTCAACCTTTTGATGATATTCTAATTTACTGGCCAGCACCTGTATATGTCATGAGCTCACTGAGCGTCACATGACCAGATTCATATTGAAGTTGTTTTGGTGAAAGTAACAAAGTAATGCAAAAGTAGTGTAATGTCTTACATTTTAAAATCAGTAAAATTGTAATGTAATGAATTACTTTAAAATGAGGGTAACAAGTAATAAATAATGCATTACAGTTTTGAATTAACTTGCCCAACAATGGAAGCTGACGTCTCTCACATACTACTCCAGGCGCAGAAATTCACGGTTTCCAATTCAGAACTTTCTGGTACCCACATTAGGGAGAACAGTTTCCTCTCTGAGTTCCTCTCAGTTGCCAACACAATTTGATCTCTTTTTGATTTGGGATTCTCATCCGTCAACTCTGTCAAGATCAACACTGTTCATCGTCACATCGACAAGCTTAACAGGGAATTCCTGTCCCTGTGTAGGCAGGCACTTCACCAACAGCTTGCGTTATAGCAGCTTGGCACCTCTGAATGTCAAACTGTGGTGGTCCTTCATACGCATAGCAATATACTGAGTTAAACTACTTCTGCGGTGAACGAACTTCATTCCTCGTTTCGGTCGATTATGCTCACACTCGGATACTGACCACTTGCTTGTCCGACTACAGTCGGGACGTGAGCACTCCTATAAACACCCTCCTCATGGGAAGGATTCCTCCATACCTAGTGTCTCTGGACATGGTCCGGAACGTGCTTAATAGAGCTACAAAGATTGATGTGACTGCCCTTCAGACTCATCTAGCTTTCTCTGTGGGCAGTGCTATTCCTTTTTGGGTCAATTCCGTTGACTAAAGGCCTTCACTTCCTGTGTCCAAGTAACCCTTTTCTGCACGACAAAGTCACAGGTGTGTGTGGTATAGGTGAGATGACGAGATATTCTAAATGTCCTATGACAGTTACACCCCGATCGCATGTGGTCAAGACTACGGTAGTTATCGTTGGTTGGCACTGGTTGGTCAATCCCCCTGCGCTTGAAGCCAACATTTTCTATGATCGCCATGACGTGTTCACTTGGGTTGAGCTGCCATCCCAAACTCTGTGGTTGTCAGTCCCTTGTGGTGCCATGGTCCACGTTGGTGAGGTCTCTCTATATTACTTAGATCCAGATGAACACAAGTCTGTTGTAGAGTTTTCTCCTTTTTATGAAATCTCCTTTGCTTTTTCTCCCGCTGCTGTGGACATGTTACGTTCAACGGCCCGACCATAGTTCTGGTTAGTGCGGTAGACAAAGTAAATGGTAAATGGCCTGTATAGCGCCTTCTTAGGGTTCTATGACCCCCCCAAGGCGCTTCACAACACAATCAGTCATTCACCCATTCACACACACATTCACACGCTGGTGGGGATGAGCTACGATGTAGCTACAGCTGCTCTGGGGCGAACTGACAGAGGCGAGGCTGCCGAGCACTGGCACCACCGTTCCCTCCGACCACCACCAGCAGGCAACGTGGGTTAAGTGTCTTGCCCAAGGACACAACAGTAGAACTCTCTTGTCGGAGCCAGGATCGAACCTGCAACCTTCTACCTCCTGAGCTACTGCTGTCTTGAGTACTGCGTGAGCTCTCTTCAGGTTCTGGCCTCAGTTTTCAACCTGTGACTTACTCCTGGTCCTCCTCTGTCATTTCCCTCACTACGTGCTTCAACTGCTGTTTGTCACTTGGGTCGGTGTAGGCGCTATTTCGTCACTTCTCTGCATGGTTGGCCCCCTTAAGGGACTCGATCTGCAGTTCAGGGAGCCATCTAACCAGGGCTCTAGTGACTGTGGTGCCAAATAATGATGTTCTGCCTCCCCAAGAGCCTCCAACTGAGCCGGTCAATCCTAAGCTCCCGGTTCAATCTTCACCTTTAAAAAGGAGGATGATTTTTCCTCCAGGTAACGTGTTCTGTTTCAAGATACCCAAGTTCTGTTGAGTGTGTGTGTGTGCATGGATATATTTCATGTTAAAACATATCGTGCAGACTTGGTTGGCTTTGATGTTGTCATGCTGTGGGTTTCTGAAGATCTGTGATGACTAAGTTCATTACAGTGACAAGCAATAAAATCTGCTGATGGTTAAGATGAATCCAAATTCAATTTTCTTACACTAAACAAAAATATACACGCAACACTTGTTTTTGCTCCCATTTTTCATGAGATGGACTTAAAGATCTAAAGATCATTCTAGATACACAATATCACCATTTCCCTTAAACATTGTTCACAAATCAGTCTAAATGTGTGATAGTAAGCACCTGTGCTTTTCTGAGATAATCCATCCCACCTCACAGGTGTGCCACATCAAGATGCTGATCCGACATCATGAGTAGTGCACAGGTGTACCTTATACTGCCCACAATAAAAGGCCACCCTGGAATGTGCCGTTTTTTTTTTTTTTTTTTTTTTTTGCTTTATTGAGGGTCTGGGGACTCAGAACCGGTCAGTATCTGGTGTGACCACCATTTGCCTCATGCAGTGCAACACATCTTCTTCGCATAGTTTATCAGATTGTCAATTGTGGCCTGTGGATTGTTGGTCCTTGTATTGATTTATTTTTATGTACAACTTTCAGTGTCTGAGTTTCTGTAGAGGATGCCTGTCAATGTTCATGTGTTTTAGCTGTTGTGGTATTCTGCAGGGCAGTTCTTGTCCTGCTGCAGACTAAACTATTTCTTGCACTCTTTGCACATCTATGGAGTTTTTTTATTTTTGCACAGAGTGTACCTGTTTCACCCTTGACCTGCCCTCTGTGCTTGTCCATTCCTTCTCCACTGGTCTAGAGGACAAGGATGTGACCTTGAGCGGAGATCACTGGAGTTTTCATCCTGTGCACACTGCTGCTCCGGAAATTGTTGATGTTTCACGACCTCCTTCTGCTGCTTGTTGCTGATTTATTTGTGGAGCTGGTGGTGAGAGGCAGCTGATAGCCAGGGGTTCTTCTGGGGATAAATCTGGGTGTCGTGGGTCGGCGGCACCTGGGTCTGACTTTGTTGTCCAGGAGTCCAGAAGATGTGGAGCATCTCCAGCAAGATCCTGTCTCTGACATTGCCTATTGCTGGTGATGGTGGATGGCTCTTGATCAGAAAAATCTCTAAAATTATAAATACATCAGATTTTATAAAGCATACTCAAGTGGTAAATACTAGAAATGAAAACTGTAAAAAAATAAGAAATACAGAAGTAAAGCTAGAAATATATTTGAACTGTAAATAAACTTACTGCAGTTGTGATGGTAAATCATCTTCATCCACACCTGAATCCTCACCCCAGATGTACATGGACCTTTTGTTTTCCTGGAAGTAGCAGTAAGAGTTTATAATAGTATAGTAATAGTAGTCTTAATGAGCTTGAAAGAAAAGCGTCTGGACTTCTTTGAGTTTTCAAGCAAATCAAAGAAGTCCAGACGCTTTTCTTTCAAGCTCATTAGACTACAATGACCTGGATGACTGAGAACCTTCACAGATATAGTAATAGTATTAGCAGAAATACTAGACAATAGAAACTGGAACGGGTTTAGTGCAGTGAAACTTACTGCATTTGGGATGGAAAATCAATGTGGGCACATCTTGCACCTCATCAACAATGTTTGAGGGAAGTTTCCTTTCTAGAAGGTTTCCTGGTTTCTGGTTTATTTACAAAAACAAATCTATCGTATAAAATAATAAAAAAGCCTCAGTGAAAAACGCAGCTGAAAAAAGACAAAACTACGGGTGAAAGAACGAGTACAAAAAACGGGAAAACAATGTCAAATATGACTAAATATAATCTAAAATTACTAAATAAAAACATAAAGTAGGAAATTTACTGAAAATAATTATTATTTACACCAGTAGAAGAGACAGAACATCTTTGGTGTGTTCTTGCTGTGTTGAGATTCTAATTCTATCTTTTAGTTCTTTTTAAAACACAGAAAAGTTTATTTACCTGCAACGTTTCATTTGCGGCTGAAAACTTCGTCAGGCTGGCGCTGATGGTGCGTCACTTCCTACTCCGTTTATCCACGGGCAGCAGAGGACGTTGTCGCCCTCTGCTGCCCGCTCTCCCCTCTCCGATGACGTAGTCCCATGCAAGATCCAACGAGTAAACTCCATCGTCTCTGTTCATGGTCCCACATCCACGTCTCCTTATCTGTATAGCTTCTTTTATCCATCTTTTTTATTCCTGTTGTTCGGTGTTTATGATCCTTGTGTTGTCCCAGTCCATTGCATGGTTTTCTCTTGTGCAGTGGTCTGTTACGGCTGACTTCTTTATTGTGCTTTCTGCTTCTTCTTTTGCTGCTCTAGTGTGTTTTCCACTTGCCTCTTTCTCGCACTCCTTTCTATGTTCTATTGTTCGTGTGTTGAGTTGGCGTCCGGTTTCTCCTACGTATGTTTTATTGCAGAGTTTGCATGGGATTTCGTAAATGATTCCACATTTAAGTCCAGCTGGTATCTTACCTTTTGGGTGTACTAGTCTGTTTCTAACTGTTGTGTATGGTTTTGCATGGGAAATCCTATGCAAACTCTGCATCTGAGGTCCCACACTGAGCGGATAATTTACTCAGACCTGAGCTTCACATTAAGGCTATAACAAGATCAGTGTTTTATCATCTTCATCAAATCGTGGGCTGCTCCTGGACAGCTAGAATAAAGAGGTCCACCTTTAGTCAAGAGTCAAGAGTCAAGAGTCATTTATTGTCATATTCTCCACATGTGCAGAACATACAGAGAAATGAAATTCAGTTTCAGCACACACAATTCAAAGATCAGACATACGTGGGTAAGACACATAACAAGAATTGGTGACTGCGGTCATTCGCAACATGAGTCGCGCTACCTTAATAGTTCGATGAAAAGGGTGTTACATGAGGAAAGTTCAGGGAGGGGAAAAAAAGGCATTACAGGGTTACACCAGCAGGGTGTAGCACTCCAATGCAAAAAAACACCCGACATGGAAGCACAGACAGCACGTGTACAACATCAGAGTCCGATGGGGAGGTGGGGGTGGGCGGGATCCTGAAGCCTCCAATGGGAGCTGCCACTGCGGCGCATCGACCAGCTGCAGAACAACAGGTGGGAGGGAGAGATAAGGAACAGAGAGCACATTGAGGTCCCTGCAGACATGTCAGCCTGAAGGGAGAGGGTGAAGGTCGGGACACAGCATCTGTCGGCATTCCTCCTTTTGTGGGGGTGTGTTGAGGCAGCCTTGAGAGGCTGCTATGGCGTCAGATAAGGATAAACATAACTTTGTTTAGGGTAGACAGAGATAATCTTCCTCTCCGCCATGGAGTCTATAACCGGTCATTCATGTCCACCAGTGAGGCCAATTTTCCATTCCACATCTCCGCATCGTCCGGCGACCCTCTCCGAGATCAAATCCATCTTGCGCACTAACACAGCCAACGCCGCAAGGACATTGTCCAGCTTACGGTTCACCTCGAGTAACGTCCCAGTCTGTGAGGTCACCGCACGAGCGGCACATTCCGTGGGTACGGGTCGCACTCCAATCGCTCCCGTCTTCCCAAATTTCCAGAAAACCAGATATCCTCCCACTCCAATCAGAAGAAATCCAGTGATCATCAGGCCGAATATCCACAAATCTTCCACGTCCTCGATGGACAGCTGAGAGAGGCACACGATTCGCCAGACCTCCCAAGAATCGAGTGCATATCCCGATGCGAATGTCCCCTCGGGACAGGTGGGAGCCCCCTTCTCCGTTCTCATCGTAGAGAAAATTTTGTCAATCACGTTGAATGACCAATTAATTAAGTCCATATTTCCAAAAAGAGAGTAGTGGTTTCAGGAGAAATGCAGAGAAGTGCTCTGTAGGCAGACAGGACAAGAGCCTTGGGGAAGCCGATAAGGGAGCTGAGAAAAAAGCGTCTGTACTCTCTGAAGGCTGAAGAAGAAGAATGTCATAACATGTTCCCTAATAACAACACAGACCTATAGCTTACAACCTCACTCAGACATCTCCAGCTTCACTAGCAACATGACCTTCGAGTTCATTGGAAACATAACACATGACTGTGCACTTTTTAAGTTTAATTTTCTTACAAAAACATTGCCAAGGCAAACTAACACTAGCACACTTTAACTAGCATTTCACTGTTAGCCATGTTTGGCAAGTTAGCTTTTTTGTTCTTTATTAACCCACATTTAACATCGCCCCAAAACTCCAATATAATATTATTTGAATAAAGTTGGTAAATAGCAAATGTTTATTATGAAAACATTTCTAAGCAAAGTTAACATCTCTTAATTTTAGCTAGCGTTGTATGTTAGCCTGGTTATGCAAGCTAGCTTTATTATTTAAAAACCCACATTTCCTGTTTCCTCTGATGTTTGATATATTATATTATTTGAATAAAGTTGGCAATTAGCAGATGTTAGACAAGACTTACACCACAGATATCTCGTCTGTGCAGAGCTGATCCTCTGGTGGATCCGTGATAGTCTCGTGCCTGCTACAAGCGCAGAAGCTGCTGCTGCTTACACGTGCTCCGGTGAAGTTTAATACTCCGAAGGCACAACGCAGTCACACCTGATGTTTGCTTCTGTATCCCAATTTGAACTCAATCATGTTGCTTGGATTGTAATCCTCTGGTCTGAAGTGCACGCCTCCACAAACTACGGCAATGTCCATAACTGAAGCAGAAGTGAAGTCTAATCTTTTCAGCAGCACAAAACATACCCAGGCACACAAGTTAGTGCCATGATTTTTCTTAATTAAAAACCCATAGACTCAATAGACACGCTGGAGTTTGCTCAGCCTCCACAAACAAATGTTGAACGGAATTCAAAACTAGTGAGCACACCTGCTGACTCAAAAACAACTGCTCTACCAGATAACCACCTACTCGTCACGCTGAGCTTCAGGCAGGGTTTTATTACGACTCCCTCTGGTTATGTCAGAGGTAAAGATTCATTAAAAAAAATAAGCTTTGCTGAAAAGGGCCATTTTTTTCTCAAAAGAATGAGCCGTTATGTGTTGAAAAACAAAATACCCATGATAAGTGTTTCAAGTAGTATTTTTGGACAGCATTTTACATGAAAAAAGAAAAACTAACTAAAACTAACCCTAACCCCAACATGCCTCCATCTAAAAGGCTAGGCTATCCAGAGTTATCTCTGTAGTTATGCTGCTATAGGCTTAGACTGCTGGAGGACACACTGATAACTTTCCACACTCTACTGCTTTCTTCTACAATCTGCTCTTTAACTGTATTATTTCCTGCTATTTCAGCCGTTAACTTTATTTTCTCTCTAAGTGTTTTCTCCCCAGAAGAAGCTACAACGATGTTCTGCTGAGCTGTGGTGGCCTCATGGAGGGGTCCATCGACTAGCACACTGCTGCTAACCACTTAAACATTCTCCCTCTCCTGATAATAACTTTTTGCTTTCCTTGACGTTGGATGTGCTACTACTAGTTTACCCGTTTAATTATAGATCCACTAGGATAAATACAATAAAGTTTATCTCTCACCAAATAGAATATTTACTAAGAAATCACAATGTAACCATAGACACACTACTTGGTATATATGGTATGTGTGCGTGCGTGCGTGTGTGTGCGTGTGTGTGTGTGTGCGCATGCGTGTGTGTGTGTGTGTGTGTGTGTGTCTGCTCTGTCTTCTCCATCCCCAGTGAGTCGTGGAGGATGGCTGCTTATACTGAGCCAGGATCCTCTGGAGGTTTTTTCCTGTTAAAAGGGAGTTTTCCTCTCCACTATCGCTGCATGCTTGCTTAGTATGAGGACTGCTGTAAAGACTCTGACACTAGTCAGTGACTCGATGCGACCTGCTGGGTTCCTTATACAGGAAATTTTTTACTGATTGTCCTAAAGAAATGAACTGTTATGGAATGTTTACTTTGTGAAGTACCTTGAGATGACACTTGCCACGATTTGGCGCTATATAAATGAACACAATTGAATTGAAACTGAATTTAATTTAAACTGAACTGAATATGGCAAATCTTCAAACAAGCTAGGTTTTGAATGCAAACATGGTCATGGAACACTCACCCCTCTCCTTGAGTATCTTCCCTAGATTTGAATCCACTGGAACTGAAAACCCGTATTGACAGAGAAACCGAGAGAGCGGTTAACACCAGTCGCCGTTTTCTACATCCAAACGTCTTTTGTTGTCTGTGTTTTTGATTTGTGTTTTCTTTTTGGGACTCTGGTTGTTTGTCCTAAAGTTCAAGTGGTATCAGCCATCTGTTTATCCTTCTCTGAAATGATCGAGTGGAGAACCTCTCACACTAGTGGTTTTCTGTTTTAAAATATACAAGTTTGTAATGAGTGGAAGACCCAGGGAAGTGCGGAAGTACGAATGTTTGGTGAGATGGACAATCGAACGGTCCAATAATTGCTTTCAGTCCGAGCCGTGTTATTGGTGGAGGTTTTTAGACAAATGCGAGAGAACCACATATTTCTTTTCTTTTTTTTTTAAATGTTCACAATATATTTATATCTTTCCTATGTTGGAACATGTTAAGAGGAATGAAATAAAATGTTTGAAGCCAAATTGTTTTCCAAATTTACTGAGTTTGTATTCGAATGTGCACTAGACTGACCATTTAAACAATAAAACCTTTAAGAAATAAAAAAATAGGGTTATAAATGTAAAGGCTGACCTTTTTTTTTCTTCTTCTGGTAGAAAAACGTCTTCTCAATTTCATTGACTTCCTCAGGGGATATGAAGTGGCGTACGTTGTAGCTGACACCCACCCTGTTCAAGTGGCCTCTCACATGGTTGGCAAGACCGATCCCATTATGAAATCGATCGGGGCAGTATGGACATTTTCTCTCTATGCTCTTCAGCACCTCTGAGTCATCATCAATCTCATCTATGTCTTCATCTAAAAAGTCATCTGGTAGGAAACAAGCCGTATGTTCTTCATCAACATCCTCGTCCTCATCAGTAGTATCATCCTCATCATCGTCGATGTCAGTTTGCACAGAAGCAGCAGAAATCCTGCTGCTCCTTCGTAAACAGAAAACTTTTAGATCTTTCTTTGCGTCCCCTTTGTCCTCTTCAATTCCATCATGTTTAGCAAGAGAAGGCGATGTAGCATTCTGCCATTGTGAAGTATTACCTATCAAGAAAGAAAAAACACTTGTGAATGAGACAACCTAAACATTTCTCTCAAATATCTTAGCTACTCTCTAAGTAGTTTGGATTATTTTTGAAGGAGACACATTAGCATTGGTTGTCAATCCAGGTCCTGGAGGGCCAGTACCAAGCACGGTTTAGTTGTTTCTTTGCTCAAACACACTTGATTTACTGGGTCAATCCCCTGTGAAGCAGCTCATTAAGGTTTGCAGAAGCCTGTTAATGACCTGCTGATTGAAATCAGGTGTGTTGAAATGGGTAAAACTAAAACATGCTGGATAAAGGCCCTCCAGGACCAGGACTTAGAACTAGTGCATTACAGCAAACCTCATTAAAAAGTTAGAATAGTTATATAGTCTATATAAAACTGTTTAATGAAGTTTGCACATATTCACACTCACATGAAGTAACTTCACCAGCTTTATTCTCAACAGTTTCGGTTCCTTTCAGAATGAGCTATTTAAGGAAATCTGCTGGCTACACTCACCCTTCCCCCAATAGGCTGCTATGAGGTGAGGCGCTCAGAAATCCAGGAGGGGCCTGAAGTAGAGCCACTGTTCCTCCATGTCCAGAGCTAGCTCGTATAATTTTTTTAACTTCATGAAAACCCACATGCAGCATTCAGACAAAACAGACCCCATGCAGAAACTTTCCAGAGCTTTGCATCTGGATCCTCACTGCACCGCAGCCGGTGTTTATGCTTTGACTGGACTCAGTGATATTAGGTTAATGCAGAAGCTGTACAGAAACTACACAACAGATGTCCGGCATTTAGTGTGAAACAGGCTTAAACATACATGCTAAATTCCCTTTTCTGACATCTTCCCACCAGATGCGTGAGCAGCGTGTAACGTATTAACTGGGAGCACCTTGCTAAAGCCTGGTTTATGCTTCTCCGTCTGCGTCAGTGCGGAGACACGCAACGTCCTTGCGTAGGGCTCCGGCAGGCACGCAAGTACGTACGGAGTCGAGCCCACTTTTTTAAAAATCCGTTGAACGAGACAGAGAACGCAAGCTTGTGATTGGTCAGGACGCCGCTGTTGTTTACAGCGCCGCCATTGCAACGAGAGCCGAGGATAACTAGCGGCAGACACGGAGAAGCTTGAAGAATGCCTCGCGAAAAAACTCTAAAAATATGAATGTTTCATTCTCCCGTGACTGGAGGAGTGAAACGATGAGCAGCAAGCGTTTTATTTGTGGACGGATATGACAGGAAACGTGGGTTTAGAGGTGGGGAGCGCATGAAGAGGTGGGAGAATGAGAGACAAATATGTCTGTGTTAAAAGTCTCTTATATACACAAAAAACACATTATTAACACACGATCTTGGACCGATAGATACCACAGAACAGCGCTACGCCCTCTGTTGTCCTGGTGGGGAATTGCTTTGCAACACTCTCCAGGAGACGGAGAAGTAAAAGAGCAAAACGCTTCCGTCAATCCGTGCGTGTCTGTCCCTTGCGGAGCTGACGGAGAAGCATAAACCAGGCTTAACTGGGAGCATTCAGATGCAAAACGGGAGCGAAGGCATTCCACACCAGTAGTGCCACAAGGTCACAAAATCACAGGAGAATGGCAACATTACGTTTGATTTCAGAAGTTTGCACAATAACAAGCAAGGAGAAGGATGGCTACATGTATCCAAAAAAGTCTGTGGTTTATTTTCTGTTCTGTTTACTGTGCCTATAGAGATTTTGCATTAAATCAGGTTCGATTTTTACTAAATCAAACAACTGGAAATTTGCATGTGACTTTTTTCTGGATCTTTAACACAGTTTTTGGGTTTGACATCCAGTCTGGACCAATCTTAACTTCAGAGTATGCTGTGTAATGGAATTGTAGGGCATAAAAAACAGACTAAAAACACAACCCTCACACAGCTTCAAGTCTGAAATGCGTTGGGGCCGGTGGAAAGGAGCTCATCCACTATAATATAGTTTAGCGGTTATTTCACATCTGGTCGAAATTTAGGGTTCGATTCAACAGAACCGAGTTGCCTGAGACTTAGAATTTAGGGTTATGATAAGCTGTACGCCATAATCATCATGATTTCAACAAATAAAGGCTTGAAATATCTGTCTTTGCCTATAATAAGTTCATCTCATATATTAGTTTAATCTTTTAAGTTGAATTACTGAAACTAATGAACTTTTGCACCATATTTAGAAACCAAGGCTCAAGTCTAAAATTTACAGGACAATGTTTGAGCACCAGGCTCGTGGTCTATGATGAAGGCAGATTTGCATCACTATGTAATTGAAAGACCAAGATGGGGGTATTTCTCTTATCTGATGACGCCACCTAGTGGCTGAAAAGCATATCACAGAAATAATTTCTCCTTTCGTTTCTTTAAGATGGCGACTTCACATTTCTAGTTTATAAGAGTCCTTCTGTAACCGACAGAGCTAAAACATGATGTTTACAAGTATTATTCTCATGTCATGTTGTGTTCTCACGAACACGTTGAGTATTTTACTCATGAAATGACTAGTAAGTCTTGCTGTGATGACCTATTGGTTGTAGCGAGAGAGTAGCTCAGACAAATAGCTAGGAACACTGCCCTGCAGAGACTTAAAATCGAAGACAAGTATCCAGTGCAGATTGGCCAAAATGAGCGTGATGTGTTCCTGCTTTCTGGTGCCAGTCAGGAATCTAGAAGCAGCATTTTGAGCAAGCTGGAGCTGAGCCTTGCTAACTCCAGAGTAAAGGGAGCTGCAATAATCGAGCTGAGAAGTAATAAAAGCATAAAGAAAGAAAGCAAAGTTGGTGATGAATGGAGAAAAATAATCCTAAACAGCAGAAAAGAGAAATCTCTGAACATAGTTTGAAAACACTTCATAGCTGACATGTTTAAAAAGCTGGTATTTGAGTAGGAATCGTTTCATAAATTCTGAATATAATTGTTCACTCTACAATGGAAAAAAACTGAAAAATTTTAGGGACCTCCCCATTAGCCTTCACCAGGAACTACAGTAGGACTCCAAGGAGGTCCCGGACCAGCCTCAGGATTTAATCCCTCTAAAGTGTTCTGAGTTGACCTGGCAACCTCCTGCCAACAGGACAAACCCAAGACACTTCTCTTGGGAGGCATCCAAGCCAAATTTCTGAACCGACTCAGCTGGCCTCTTACACAAAGGAGCAGCAGCTCTACTCTGAATCTCTCCCGGATATCTGAGCTCCTCTCCTATCTCTGAGGCTGAGCCCAGCTACCCAACAGAGGCACTTTTTTAGCCATTTGAATTCATCATCGTGTTCATTTTAACATTACTCAAAGCTCTTGGTCATAGATAAGGGTTGTATGGTTGATGAACCAGTAACTTGAGAACATTACTGTCAGTATTGCCCAGGGCAGTTGTGGCTACTACGCAACACGTCAGCGCACGTGTGTGTGTGTGTGTGTGAATGATTCACTGTAGTATACAACATTTTAGTCATCTGACGCAGAAAGCATTTTTTCAATGTGGATTTTCTGCATCCTGTATAAACTATGTTTTATTGTTTTTTATTGTAATTTTGTTGTTGAAGTCCTGCTCTTTCATCATTTAGCCATTGATTTTAAGGTTTGATGTCATATATTTTATTGTAACCTCTATTTTATGTCCACGGTATTATCTTTTCTTTTCATGTAAAGCACTTTGGTCACCTTTCATGGTTGAGGAAAGTGCTATATAAATAAACTTGACTCAGAAATGTGCTATACAAGTGCAGATAATTTATCAATATCACTAAAAAACCTTAGTTAATTGTTTTTTGGGGAATCATATGCTTTAAAGATATTGGCCAAACTCTGTATTATAATAGTAGAAAATCAGCATAACTAGACTTCCATCTATACAAACACGAACTGGGTTTATTTGTTAAGGACGTTTATCATAAATCATTACGGAAAATCCAAATCCTCTCCTCCAGACAGTGAAGAACTGTTCCACATACGTCACTCCAACACGTAAAACAAGGTAGCTGCTGTATTGTGAATAACTGTGTTTTGTTTACTTTCGTGATCTTAATTATTACAGAAAACGGCGTTTACATCTGCAGCAAAACGTCTCAGCCACATGTCCGTGTCCTACACGCATTTTTAAATAACAGGTCTGATCTAAAATAATAACCTACATCTGGAACCGCACCGCTACTTCTGGCCTCCAGAGTCCCGTTAGCATGACAGCTACACTGCTAACTGTGTTAACTCGGTGAAGAAAAACAAGTCATTTGGGAAAGCTACCACACACACACACACACAATCTGCATGGTGGCGCAGCGGTTAGCACTGTTGCCTCGCAGCACGAAGGTTGTAGGTTTGAAACTCGGCTGCGGCCTTTCTGCGTGGAGTTGTGTGTTCTCCCCATGCATGCGTGGGTTTCCTCCGGGTACTCCGGTTTCCCCCACAGATCATAACATGCCCTATAGGTTATAAATTGTAAGTCGCTTTGGATAAAAGCGTCTGCTAAATGAATAAACATAAACAATAAACAATCTAAAAGATGACCTCTATATTTCAACAATAGATCCTCCGTGGACCGGTAGAACCTACGTGCCATCCTGGATTAGTGCAAACAACGAGTCAAACTAACGAGTTACTCCAGCATTTGGAAGATTTATTCTGGTAAGCCATCGGTAAAATGTTTTCAGGGTTAGGATTAAGCAGCACATAATTTTATTTATCTGTAGATCACTGAACTATATTGGGACACATGATGGAGCTAAGACCTGCTGAGAACTCATCAGCTGAGAGCTCCCGGAAATGAAATATTTAACAAACGTAAACAAACTGAACTGATTTTGGTTCTGAAGATGAACAGAATCCTCCACGATGTCCAAATCAGGTTGCAGGTCTTCTGAGTCAAACGGTCTAAAACATGTCTGCCCCTCCGGTAGTGATATCCAGCTAGCGGGTCGCAGTTCGGTTGAACTTCTCCGGTAATCCAATATCTGTTCTGGTTGCCGTATCCCAGAGAAAAACCTAATCTGACAGACTAGCAGAGGCTTCAGAAGCTACATCTGACTGATGACACGTTGTTCTGCTATGACGCTAGTGCAGAAAGAGTCGGGGTTGTTTACTACAGCTGATTCAGCAGAGCTCCTTGTAAAACGTCACCAGCTGCCCAGGGCTTAGACCGGAAGCTAGTTTCTGTTTTTGCCACACCGGTCACAAACATCAGATTTTCTTAAAATTCCAGCTGTGAAAATCCAAAAACCTTTTTCATCTGAGGTTTTAATACTTCTTTACACATGCTGTTCAGAGGAGATTTGCCTCTGGCCGATATCTTTAAGTACGATGATCTACATGAATAACCAACACACAAAGTTTAACACCATTAACAGAAGTGTCACACATTGTCTCACCAGTGATGGGTTGGGTTCTGGTGATCGAATTCCCTCCCTCGCATGTGTTTGCCTCTTGCTGGGATATATTAGCCTGACTGCGGTGATTTTCTTCCTGCTCTTCCCCTCGATTCCCTGGCCGCCCCTGTTCACCCACCTCCGGATCCGTTACATTACTACAAGTCTTCTCTTCTGTGCCGAGTCTCGCATCACACTTAAAGCCCGGTTGAGTTGCAGCATCATCAGGTGTGCCATCCTCTGAGGCAGTGATTGTTTGATTTGCTTCATTTTGACATCCAGACTCAAAGATGATTTTTTTTTTTGAGATTTGTGCACGCAGGTTAGATTTTGAAGATAATCTAGTCTCAGTGGCTCTAACGGTGGACACCCGTTCTGGGAGGACAAGTGTTTGGAGTTTCCTTAGCGTGGTCTGATCTGTGGTCAGAAAGGCACAGTGACTCTTTTCCGGCGAGGTGGAAGTAAAGTTTAACAGTGAACCATGAGACAGGTTTTTCCTGTTGTGAGTCTTGGAGTGATTAGCCAGAGCTTGGGACGTTTTGGTGCTGAAGTTACACTCGGCGCAGACAAATCGCCGATGGCAGCTTGAGATGTTCCGAGTCTGAGCCAAGGTTTGACCTGGGTTTTGAGGAGCTGAATCGAGGTCTGCAACTGCTGAAACTGAGGCCAGAGAAGCAGTTGTCTTAGGGCCTGACGTTTCACTCGTGTCCTGGAAAGAGTGTTGTGACACAGTGGGGTCAGAATGTATCTGCTCTCTACCATCTAGTGACTGGATGTCTTTTGGCGTTTCGTTATCATTCAGTTTTTCAATCTCCTCAAGGATCTTCAGACGGGACTGCTGATGCTTTCTTTGGTGGTCATCCAGTGCCAGATGGTTCGGCAATCTCCATCCACACTCGTTGCACAGCAGTTTGCTGCCCTTTAAACGCCTTCTTCCACCTGCACCAACCTGACAGTGCTCAGCCATGTGCTCCTGCAGGTGGGCCTGCTTCTTGAAGTAAATGCTACACTCCACACAGGTGAATATTTCTGCTGCTGACTCCATCTCACCGTCTTCTTCTTCTGCATCTCTTTTCTCAGCATTTCCTCTGAACTTGATCATCTCTTCAGTGCTGTCATCCTTAAAATCATAAACCCCTCCCCCTGGATTCTGTTGTGCTGCCTCATTTGAGTTAGAGTTCTGAGGGCTGGGTGCTGCTGGTTTGCCAGCCTCTGGTGATGTGCGCTTCAAGGTGCTGAGTCCAGAAAAGGGCCTGAGCAACACTCTCTTCTTTCTGCACTGCTGAATAAAAGTGCAGTGAGCCCAGGGAGCAGGGGGAGGGCTCTCGGGGTCCGAGTCTCCAGGGAAGGTGTAAACATCTTTCTCATACTCCTTACTTTCTTTATCCTTGGGCCTCTTCTCACCCTTGCTGTTCCTGGCTTCATCCTTCCTTTGGCAACCATCCTTCAGTTTTATGTTGAACAAAAATGGCTCAGCGCTCTCCGATACAGTGCACATTCTGCTTTCTGCCACTGCAAAGAAAGATGGGGGGTTCAGAAAGACAAGATATCAAATGTTGAGAGCCGATTTTGTTTCTTCCTTATGGTACTCACATTCCTGTTGGCCAAGCTGAGATGTATTTGGCTCCTCTGCCATTGTGCTCTCATTACTGCCACCATGCCCTCCCTCAGCAATATTTGTTTCAGTCTTACAATGAAAGTGATGCAGCTTCCCACATTCTTGGTCATCTTCACTATCAAGCCTATGGAAAGGGGAAAATTAATACATAAAACAGAAAATTTACCTAAACGGGAAACAATACCTTCCTGAGCTCAAATTGGAGTATTATCAATTTGAAGAGGGTGTAGATGAAACTAGGGTTGTCACGGTAACCGCAAAAATGAAATATCGCAATATGAAGAAACCCACCGCGCTGCATCATGGGCCACCGCGATTACTGAACTTGATTCAACTCAATGATGCATGTTGAGAAGGATGGCTGCACTGGTATCAAAACGAAATGTTACTTCGCTCCTTTGGGAGCACTTTGGTTTTCAGTACGTCAGCTGCTGCGCAGCCAGAGTCCTTGGCCGAACAGAGCTGCCACCAGCGGCAAACATAAATAAATAATAAACGCTCGGAGACCTGCTGAAGTCCCGGACAAGCACTGCTTCTGCAACCGTCCCGAAGAGAGTTTGAGCCGAGCTGGAGCTCACTCGCTACCTGCGGGAGGAATGCATCGACCCTAAAGACACCCCCCTGACATGGTGGAGCAACAACCGGGAGAGATTCCCTTTGCTCGCCAGAGTCGCACGCAAGTACGTGTGCGTTAAAATTTCTCACTCCCCCTCATTTTCTCTCTTTTATGTTTGTTTGTGACCTCTCCTCCTGAATCAGTGTGTCTGGTTAAGTGCAACGAGCGCACCATCCGAGAGGGTTTTCAGTGTTGCTGGAAATGTTGCCACCCCTCTCAGATCCTCTCTCAACCGTATATGGTTAACATGCTGGTTTTCCTTGTGGGTAACACGGACGTGACCGAGCTATAAAGCACCGTCATTCGTGTGTGTGAAAGTGAAATGATAGTGCCGCGCGCCCGGTACATGTAATTTTTTATGCTTGATTTTAAACAACTAAACAAAATGGGGACTTGTTTCTTATTTGTTAGATGCTGCAGCCAAATTTGCATTTAAGTTTAACCTTCTCCTGAATTTTGTTGTTTTTAAGTTCAGTCGGACTCCGACTGTCGGAGAAACAAACGCTACTGCGATCTGTGTTGTTACTGCCCTTTGATCTGCATTCAGTAGTGTTATAAAAGAAGGCACGGCAATTTTTAACCTTTTTTAAATGTGTAAACATTATGTTTAGATAGTACTGCAATAAAAAAAAGTGCTGCAATAATATCGCACACCGCAATATTAAGCCACCCTGAATCACCGCAGGGGGAATTCCTCAACCGCGACAGCCCTGGTTGAAACATACAGAAAAATAAAGTTTTGTGAAAATCTTGTAGTCTTTAATAATTTATATTTTTTAGACTTTTCTTTAGATGTTATTTCAGCCAGTGTTATTCTATCATAATGTTAGAAATACAGAAGAATTAGTTACATCATGAGGTTGCATGTGTTTGCTTGCGTGCATATGGACTCATTAGTTCAGGGATTCCCAAGGTGTGGTGCGCGCACCCCCGGGGGTGCGCGAGCTGCCGCTAGGGGGTGCGCGAGGTGAAAAGTGTAATGCTGCGGAGCTCAGTCTGTCATGTGTCACCATTAGCGTAGCCAGAAACTCATTTGTGGGCGGGCCTAAGAAAAAGTAAGTGGGCACAATGAATGTAATTGAAAACAAGTATATTTAGCTTGTGTGTGTGTGTGTGTGTCCCCTCCACATGTGCCCTAGCTTCATAATAACAATGCGCCGAGCTTCAGCACTCTGGCCTGCGCACACCGACATGTTCCGTATTTGATCATTTTTAACGGTGTTGGAGGAATCTGAAGGTGGCGAGTCATTCTGGCAGATTGTAATTAACACCTGTCTCATGCAGGTGTTCTGACGTTGTAAACCTCACACACAGAACATTGTGGATGTAACTAAATAACAAGAAATGATTCCCATTCAGGCTATTAACAGCGCGCTGAAGATCTGAAGTTCAGAGTGCGTCTGTCAGAGGTCAGACGCGGTCCAGCGGAACCACGGCTCACGGGTGCACAAGTGAGCACATCTGGGCTGGGCAGAAGTCATTTTACAACATTGGTTTAAATAGCGCCAAATAACGAGACGCGGTGACTGGAGCGGCTCATGGAGCTTTTAAGAGGTTTTATAACATTTTTCATTCCAGGCCAAATTAAGATATTAGCTTGTATTTTGGGATGGCGTTTTAAAGTCGGGTCCGCTCCAGCCAGTGACTCCGAACCTGCAGCATTTGTTATTCCTGTCCGCGTGGCAGCGGATCGCAGATTCAGCCACACCATAAAACAGCAATAAGTCGGTCTGAGGCAAAAGTGAACCTCATGGCTATATCTTTTCCATCTTTTCCCCTATAGACATTTGATTGCGCACCAGTAGGTGATCAGTTCAGGTTTATGCAGAGCAGAAGGAAGGAGAGCGCTCTGGCCGCACAGGTTAAACGTTCCTACTTTAAGAAAACCGTTAAATTGCATTGTTTATGTGCTACCTGGGCACTCTAAATATTTATTTAAAATTAAATCAAAGGAAATTGTAATAGTATCGAATGTTTATTAATTACTATTTAAAAAATGGAAGTGATGGGGAAAAAGGTCGATCATATTTTTTAACCCTGTCTGTTTAGCTTGACGTCTGATATATAGAAGGGGGTGCGCGGCTAAATAAGTTTGGGAACCACTGCATTAGTTTATAATATTAGCAAAATACCTCATGAACCAATCAAGGCCTTTCAACATAATTCTCAAAAAGACTTCATTAAATGTCTGATTCACTTTTACAGTCAGCCTGATTTGAGAAGGATGTTGTAGTCAACTATTAGTCTGTTAACTGTTTGGGGCGACGGTTGCGCAGGAGCTAAGTGCTCGCTCCGTAATGGGACGGTTGCAGGTTTGAGCCCTGCTCAGTCTGTCACTGCCTTTGTGTCCTTGGGCAAGACAATTAGTGGGCCATTCCCATCTGTACCGGGTCGGCCCGGGCCGGGTAGCCCCAGTCGGCCCCAGCCTGGCCCGGTTGATTCCACACATCCTTGCCTTAAGCCCATGTGGGCTGATTCTACCCACCAATCAGAGGCTTGCTCTAATGGAAGGTGTGAATTTGCTGTCAGCAGTGGGTGTGTTGGTCCTGGTCGGCCTGAAGCAGACCCCCTCCAGAAGAGGGCTGAGAATGAGCCTTGGTTGGCCCGGAAAAATACCAGGCCACCCAGATATGTAAACAACCTACGCTACCCGGCCCGGGCCGACCCGGTACAGATGGGAATGGCCCATAACTCTCCTTGCCTGCGGGTGGTGGTCGAGAGACCGGTGGCGCCAGTGTGCAGCAGCCTCACCTGTCAAAGCGCCCCAGGGCAGCTGTGGCTACATCGTAGCTCATCATCACCAGGGTGTGGATGTATGTGTGAATGACCCATGAGGAATTTCAACATAAATCTGATTCCTTCTGTTAATCCCAACAGTAATTTTTGGTTTGTAACAATCTAAGACTAAATGACATCTTTTCTGTTTATGTGTAAAAGGACAGGGTAACCCCAAAATTCCACTACCTCCGCTCCGCTCCGGCACGAACTCCGCAGCAACATCGGTCCCGTTGTAGTCAATCAGAGCTGTTCCACTACTGCGGCCGTGCGGCGCAGTGCGCCGCCCGCCGTTCCACCATCCGGCAAAAATAGGATCGAGCACCTCCGCAGTCAATGGACAGAAATCACAACCGCCCAACAGGAAAGGGAGCAAGCACAGCTTCCGTTTTTCACAATAAATCGATAAACAAACGGCGTTTTTTGTTTCATATGCACAGGTTTAACAACTTTTAACAACTATCAATGGCGGCTGAACTTTAAATGCACAAAAATAAGCCATAAATACAGTTTCCACTATCAAAGTAGTCACACTTTGTTGATCCAGACACTGCTGACCTCAACACGAATGATGGGCAGATTAAACAGTTCATTTTGTTGCTTCTCCCACACAACGAGTGTTTGGATCTAACTTCCGCGTTTATTGCTCGGACTGTATTGCAAGATCTCGAAAATCCCGCGCATGCCTGTTTGCGCACCTCAGGTCTCCGCACCGGAGCGGAGCCGTTGTAGAGCGGGTACCAGTAAAAATTGAGTTCGTAAGCCAGCGGCTGCGGAAGGCGGGGGCGGAGCGGAGGAAGTGGAATTTTGGGGTAAGGAGAAAAACAAGCTCACAGGAAAACTGTAGGCATTATTTTGTTATTTTAGCACCTCTTATTTACAATTTAAATATTCAACCTAAAACCGTCCATATTGTGCCCTTTTCTAAAGGTCTACACTCCATTTGAAATTTAATCAGCCACCACTGTTGGCAAAAACAATACTCCCTGACGTGGCCAGACGAGCGGGAAATCTGCTGCACCGCTGTTGTAGGGTATACAAGCAGCTGACACTCGGCCACTCATGAGCCAATTCAAAATTATGAGGCTCAGATCTGCTCACCTCCAAAAATGTTTTCTTTCTTTTCATCTCTGTCGTCTGATGAAGGAGGTGGAAAGAAGTTCTCCAGACTCGGAGGTGTGCTGCCGTTTCTTAGTCAGAGCGGTGTGTGTGTGTGTGTGTGTGTGTGTGTGTGTGTGTGTGTGTGTGTGTGTGTGTGTGTGTGTGTGTGTGTGTGTGTGTGTGTGTGTGTGTGTGTGTTAGCGGGTCAGGAAGTAGAGCGTGTTGTCCAGTGATCAGAGGGTTGTAGGATTGATCCCAGTTCCTTGCAGAAAATGCTGCTTCTGTGTCCTTGAGCAAGACACTTCACCAATATTGGCTGCTGAAGGTTGTTGAAGCGACTGGTGGCAGCTGCTTGGCAGTCTTGCCTCTGTTAGTGAACACCAGGGCAGCTGTGGCTACATTGTAGCTCATCACCAACCCGTCCACGTTTCTAATAGATTTTCCCCGCTCAGTGACGCACCCACTGACAAGCCGACTCTGATCATTGGCAGCTCCATAGTCAGAAACGTGGCATTAGAGACTCCAGCAACCATAGTTAAATGTTTACCTGGGGCCAGAGCGGGCGACATTAAATCTTACCTGAAACTGCTGGCTAAGGATAAGCGTAAACACAGTAAGATTGTTATTCACGCTGGCGGTAACGACACCCGGTTACGCCAATCGGAGGTCACTAACATTAATGTTGCTTCGGTGTGTAAGTTTGCCAAAACAATGTCGGACTCCGTAATTTTCTCTGGCCCCCTGCCTGATCGGACCAGTGACGACATGTTTAGCCGCATGCTGTCCTTCAACCGCTGGCTGTCTAGGTGGTGTCCTGAAAACAACGTGGGCTACATTGATAATTGGAAAACTTTTTGGGGAAAACCTGGTCTGATGCGGAGAGACGGCATCCATCCCTCTTTGGATGGTGCAGCTCTTCTTTCTAGGAATATGGCCAGTTTTATTAGTCCTCCATGACAACCCAGGGTCCAGACCAGGAAGCAGAGTCGTAGTTTAACCCACCCCTCTGCAGCTTCTGTACTGTTACCCACCCACTACCCCATAGAGACAGTGTCCTGCCCACGGCCAAAATCACACAGATTAAATATCAGGCTTAATAAAGCAAATCATGGAAATCTCATAAATATTAGAACAAACTCAACTGAGCAGAAAACTAGAAAAATTAAATGTGGGTTGTTGAACATTAGATCCATTTTTTCTAAGACTTTGTTAGTTAATGACTTGATTTGTGATAATCAGATCTCTTTGCTCTCTCTCACAGAATCCTGGCTGCAGCAAGAGGACTATGTTAGCTTAAACCAGTCGACTCCTTCTAATTATTTAAATCATCATATTGCTCGAAGTACAGGGCGAGGAGGAGGAGTGGCAACCATTTTTCATTCGGACTTATTAATCAGTCCCTTACAGATTAATAGTTACAGTTCGTTTGAACATCTTATTCTTAGTTTTCCTAATCCAGATTGCAAAACTGTAAAACCACTCTTGTTTGTAGTTTTATATCGTCCACCAGGCCCTTACTCTGAGTTTTTGGATCAGATCTCAGATTTTTTATCTGGTTTGGTGCTAAATACTGATAAGGTCATTGTAGTGGGGGATTTCAACATTCATGTGGACATTGAAAATGATTGCCTCAATGTAGCCTTTAGTAATATCCTAGACTCAATTGGTTTTACTCAAAGAATACATAGCTCCACCCACTCCTGCCATCATACATTGGACCTTGTGCTGACTTATGGCATAGAGTGTGAGGAAATAACGATCTTTCCACATAATCCAGTCCTCTCGGACCACTTTCTGATAACCTTTGAGTTTTTTATAACTGAGTTCTCGAGACATGAAAGTAAATTTCATTATAGTCAGTCTCTATCTGACAACACAGTTGCATCTTAAATCAACTGTTCCATCTTTACTGTCCTCAGCATCTCAGAGGAACCAAGCCCCCACAATGCGGGTGAAAAATTGAAGCAAACGCGGAAGTGAAATAAATTGCAGTTCCACCCTCATCCACTAGGGGCTGGTGTCAGAAGCGAGCAAATCCTCATTGACTCCCATGTTAAAAACACCAATTTCACAGCAGAAATAAACATGTTTACAGCCTGGTACCAGAACATGTTTTACGTTTAAATGATCTAGTTTATGCTCATGACAACTCTGAGGGGGGTGAATTTTTTTCTCACTCTTCTGTTTAAGTGTATTAAAAGCCTAAAATTCTGTATAATTAATGAGCATCAGACCCACGTGACCACAGAGCTAGCTCCGTGGAAAGGCCTCAGTAGAGCCTCGGTCTGGCCTGGAAACTGTTCCGGGATTTTGAGTCTCTGTGTGTGTGTATTCTTGTTTGGATATTATTTGTGCAATTGTTGGACAAAATGACTTGCTGTGGCATTAATTGCACTAATAGAGCGTCCAAGGAGTCTCCACTTCATTTTTTTCGGTAAGTAAAATTATATTTATGTATTTTAGGTCACTGCCGAGCTGAGCTTAGATTTTAACATGTACTGTTTAACCATGACATTTAAATGTAATAGGGTAAAACCCAGTGCATTTAACATAATGCTGCACTTTAGAAAATGGGTTGAAATATAACATGTTGGTGGAGCTCGGTTCCCACTATCGGCTTGTGGAGCTCTCGGGAGCCCGATGTTTTCAACCCTTATCCCCTCCCCGTTGCTCGGTCCATCTCTGTCTGATCGCGGCTTCTGTGTGCTGCGCGAGCTGCCGGCTTGTGGAGCTCTGGGATGGAAACCTTTCCACCCGGTTCTCCCCAGCGGCAGCTCTGCGCATCTCAGATCGCAGCAGCGCTTGTCTGCCGACTTGTGGAGCTCTCGGGAGACCTCTGTGTTCCACCCGGTTTTACCCAGCGGTCAGCCCGGCGTATCTCTGACTCAGAAGCTCTGGTGTTGGGCACAGTTAACTCCAGTTGTAGCTAGGTTGCTACCTCCGTTAGCTTAGCTCCCACCTCCGCATTAGCTTTGGGTTAGCTTGTAGCTAGTTCGACATGGTGTCATCAGTTGATCCCAGCCTTACAGCCCCACCCTCAGCTCCACCTCTCTTCCCTTTTATGGAATTGTCTGGGCTTGACGGAACCTGTGACACGGTCAAAATGGTGGTGGAAATTGGAGAGAACATGGCGCTCTACGCACCATGAGGAGGCCTACCTATCCTGGAAAAATAGTCTTGTGCTTTATAAAAATAAGCTTCGACAAGCTAGTACTGCACTTTTTTCATCGCTAATTGAGGAGAATAAGAATAATCCAAAATTTCTTTTCAGCAGTTGCCAAACTTACACAGAATCATAGCTCTGAACCATCTATTCCCTTAGCCCTCAGCAGCAATGACTTTATGGGATTTTTCACAAGTAAAATTAATTCTATTAGAAACAAAATCATTAGCATCCTCCCTAATGCAATTTCTTCCTCCTCAGTAAGTGAGGCAGCATCAGAGGTGACTGAAGAACCTCATCTGTGTTTCAAATCAAAATCAAATCAAATATTTTTATGAAGCGCTTTTCATACAAGTGCAGATCAAAGCGCTGTACAATATTAAAAACAACCAAACAGCAGTCGGCTTCCCACCCCTCCTACACAGATTAACATCAAAGATCCCTTCTGTATCTCCCTCCTCCCACCCTCAATCCCACCCCAAGAGGATGCACACACGCACGCACGCATACACACACACACACACACACGCACAGAGTGTTGGTGAGCGGCTGCGTCTGACTGCTGACGCTCCGTGTGTTTTTATTTCTGCAGTGAGACAAACTCACCTCACACTGTCCAGAGTTTGTTCTTTAAAGCTTCTATTAAATCCACCGTGTTGATGTATTTAACAAGTTTCCTCTACGCTGCAGGAGTTAAAGTTCACATTCTGGAGTAAAAGTTCAGCAGACGCGTTTGTTTATATCTGGGTGGGAGGAGGGAGGACTCGGTGCTGCAAACAGACAGCTGGTGTGATCAGGTCTGGGAAGCAGGGATCACAATTTGCAGATCACGTTTATTTTTGACGGAGATCGGCCACGGATTCCTCTTCCGGTCGGCATACTAGGAATCGAAACTAGGAATCGAAATAAAAAGATTTGAACGATTCCCAGAAAAACTAACAGTTGGTCTCGGTTCTAATTGATGCTTGATGCCCAACCCTAATTACACAACAGTAATTAAAATAAATAAATATGTAAAACAAGCAATGCAATAAACAGTAATCAGTTAAAAGCTAAACTAAAAAGGTGGGTCTTGAGCCTGATGTTAAAAACATGAACGTACGTTCTCTGCAGCCCTGAGATCCCCCAGCAGTCTGTTCCAGAGGCGAGGGCAGTAATAACTAAGACTGTCAGCTGATACTACTCACATTAAATAAACAGTTAACTGATTGAAGAGAAATGACCCGCACCTGTAAAGCACATTTCTGAGTCATAGGACTCGAATGTGCTTTACACTACAATCAATCATTCATCCACGCACACACACACACACACACACACACACACACACACACACACACACAATGATGGTGATGAGCTACGCCATAGCTAAAGCTGCCCTAGGGCTCACAGACAGACAGAGCTGCCAAGCACTGGCACTATCAGTCCCTCCACCCACCACCAGCAGGCAAGGAGGGTTAAGTTTATTGCCCCAAAACACAACAGCAGAATTCCCTCCAGAGACCTGGGATCAATCCTGCAACCCTCCCATTACTGAAAAACCCACTCGACCTCCTGAGCTACTGCTGCCCCATATTACAAAGTTAAAGCCATTTTCATGTTAGCTTAAATTAATTAACTGTGGTGGCCATCTTGCTTTGGGCTTACTTCACACATTCATCAGTTTTAGATAAACATCCAATCATTAGTTTTGAAATTTTCAATAAAACGTGTCCAGTGGTCAAAGAGGCATTCTGCTAACAGACAGATTAGAAACAACATGATCACCCATCTATCGCCTTTCCCAGTGAGTTTTAATGTATTACACATATTGCTACCACGAGACATCCCCTGCACCTCCTCATCCTCACCTGAATCCAAATGAGGGAGATCCTGGACTGTGAACAGCCAGACCGTGAGGGTTAGAAAAGTTCTGGAGCTCCTCCTCTGACAGATCACAGCACACAAAACACAACAACAGAAACATGACTTCACAGCTCAACATGTAAAAATCCACAGTTAAAGCTCATAGCCAGGTTGCATAAAGAACAGGATGAGGGACTTCTGACAGGACCAGCAAGGAAACACTGAAGATGAGTCCAACAATCTACTATAGTGGCTATATACCAGCTATTCTTCATATTTCACTGATTCTCTGGGATGTTTGTAAATACTTGAAAACGTGTGTTACCATCAAGAGTTTCTTTCTCTGAGTCAGAGTCCCAGCTGAGGGAGGTAGGAAAGGTGGAAAATTTGAACTTCCTCTGTGTTCCCCTTGGCAATTCTGTAGTAGGTTGAGAGCCCTCGCTCTGATCCAGGCCCTCCTCTCCCGGCACGTCCCATATCCATTTTGCAGACACTGGGTTGTCACCCGAATTTGGAGAACACAGCGACTAATACAACATGCAAAAAATGTGTTATTGATTGATGACAGAAATGAGAGCAAATTAACAGTAGGAGATTTCTCACCCCTATGCTGCAGTTGAGGAAGGTGGGGGTGAACAGATCTTGTGCTGAGCTTATGGATGGGAGTCCATGGTTGGTCCCTGGGGTTACGGATTGCCCATCTGGCTCCATGTTCCCCCCAGAGAACTTTATGGAGTCCCACTGACGACCAGCCTGTCTACATTGTACCACCTCCGCTTCCTCTGGAAACACGTGAACTTACTTAAGATTCTGCAGTAACATGCATTCATCTATTAGTAAAAATATCCAGGAACTCAATCCTAAAAAATGTCAGTCTCTGATCTATTCTGCAGGATCTGCTCCCGACAGTCTCCTCTTTAATTCCAGCTGCAGATTTAGGATCATCTGACCTCATTTACCAGACCACTTTATTTGTATAACTCACGTTTACACACACACACACGAGAGCTGACCAAAGTGCTTCCCATAAAATACATTAATACATACATAGAGTAAAAACTGATATAACAAACAAACAAATAAATATATGGTCATAAAAGCACAGGCCACATCATAAAAATGCGTTTTTAAACGAGATTTAAATTTCACATCATGTCTGCTCTTTAGGAAGGAAACCAGGCACCCAGATGGTTACATAAATAAGTGGCCTTTTAATTTAAATGGCCTGTATTTGATATAGCGCCTTCTAGAGTCATGGAACCCCCCAAGGCGCTTTACAACACAATCAGCCATTCACACGCTGGTGGGGATGAGCTACGATGTAGCCACAGCTGCCCTGGGGCGCACTGGCACCACCGGTCCCTCCGACCACCACCAGCAGGCAACGTGGGTTAGGTGCCTTGCCCAAGGCCAGCGACAGACTGAGCGGGACTCGAACTTAACTCCTGTGCCACCGTCGGCCCGAATTTAGGCCCAGATGTCCTCTACTTCTGCCCATCTGAAAAGAAATGGCAAGTCCGGCTGGATCCGTTCCCTCCCCGGGTTAAGCCTCTCTGTCCCCTCGGAGGACGTGGCTGATATCGATCCATCTGCTGTATGGTGACTAACCCTCGTAAGCACACACGCTCTTTTAACCCAACTGTCCTTTTTGGAGGTACTCACCGCAGTCGGCCTAGCTCCTCGCGGGTCGCAGGGAGAACTGGCCGTCTTAGCTCGTCATGGTTCCCACACGAAGCTGGAGCTCTGCCCCGCTAACGATGCTTCCTGGAGGAGGGGGAGGCTTCGACGGTTCCCGTGGACAAACTTGCTCCTTTTATTAGGACCTCTGTTCTTTTTCAGAGATTTCTCGGAGATGCCAGGCGGATGACTCCATGTTACTGAGCTCGCGGGCACGCCACGGCGGAGTGCGTAACGTCAGCGGCAGGGGAGGGCGACGGGAAGAGTTCCCAGTTAACCCAGCGAGGTTTAGCCCACTTCCAAGCCAGACTCCACTTTGGAAACGAAAGTCACGCGTAACCAAACTCGATTTCGACGGATGCGCGAGTACACGCTGCGTTACGGTACTCTCGCTTGTGACAACCTTTCAAAATAAAACAAAAACTGTTGTCTGAATGGATCTTAACAGCCTAAGTCACGCCCATCTACATCTATTTTTTTTACTTTAACAACAGTTATAACATTTTACAACATTACAGCAATATGTCAATTTGTCAATTGCCAGGGGGTTACAAGTAAACATCGATAAACAGAAGATTTATGTGAAAACATTGAAGAGCACACATAAATTATAAGTCTTAACAGCTTTTGCATTGGTAGAGTGTTCAATAGTCTTGAAATATTGCTTGACGCCCATCTACATCTTACCCAAACCCATAGGAGCCTAAGTCACTTCCACATCATGGGTCCCCGGAAAAATGAAAAGATGAACGCAAGTCCGGGGCAAACATTTTTTGAACTTTTTAATTTAATTTTTAAAATTTTTGAATTGCCCATATATGACCAAACTTTCAGTGATTTCAAAATGCTCTAAAATGGAAAATTACAACCCCACAGTGATACCATATCAATATCAAGTCATTCTGATGGTGCTTTCCAAAAGAAAGGCCTTTTTAATCTGCCCATATACGACATTTGAAATCGTTAAAGGTAGGTCAATTGTGGACCATTTAAAAAGGCCTTTATATTGGAAATCACCATCAGAATGACTTGATATTGATATGGTATCACTGTGGGGTTGTATACTGTTGATATAAAGTGGAATGACCCAGTTGAAACAGCAAATTTCCATTTTAGAGCATTTTGAAATCACTGAAAGTTTGGTCGTATATGGGCAATTTAAAAAGTCCTTTATTTTGGAAAGCACCATCAGAATGACTTGATATTGATATGGTATCACTGTGGGGTTGAATACTGTTGATCTAAAGTGGAATGACCCAGTGGAAACAGCAATTTTCCATTTTAGAGCATTTTGAAATCACTGAAAGTTTGGTTGTATATGGGCATTTTAAAAAGGCCTTTATTTTGGAAAGCACTGTCAGAATGACTTGATATGGATATGGTATCACTGTGGGGTTGTATACTGTTGATCTAAAGTGGAATGACCCAGTGGAAACAGCTATTTTCCATTGTAGAGCATTTTGAAATTACTGAAAATTTGCTCGTATATGGGCAATTTAAAAAGGCCTTTATTTTGGAAAGCACCATCAGAATGACTTGATATTGATATGGTATCACTGTGGGGTTGAATACTGTTGATCTAAAGTGGAATGACCCAGTGGAAACAGCAATTTGCCATTTTAGAGCATTTTGAAATCACTGAAAGTTTGGTCGTATATGGGCAATTTAAAAAGGCCTTTATTTTGGAAAGCACCATCAGAATGACTTGATATGGATAAGGTATCATTGTGGGGTTGTATACTGTTGATCTAAAGTGGAATGACCCAGTTGAAACAGCAATTTTCCATTTTAGAACATTTTGAAATTACTGAAAGTTTGGTCGGATATGGGCAATTGAAAAAGTCCTTTATTTTGGAAAGCACCATCAGTATGACTTGATATTGATATTGATATGTAATGTGAGGAAATATGGGTTTTCTGTCACAAAGGTGGTGCTGGACTCAGCTAGGTCAAAGCTGGGTCATTGAGAACTTTCACCCACAGATTAAGACCTGAACGCCAGCGAGTCTGGGAGGAAACCATAACATCTGCCACCTGCGGTACCAGAAGAAGGAGTTCTCATGGACAAGTAGTCATAACAAATCAAAACATAAAGTTTAAACTTCTTTTTCTTGATTTTAATGTTAAAGTAACCATTATCATTTTGCTCATTATAAATGTGTTTAATCAAATGAATGGTTCTTATGCTTTGGGGTAATTATAATGGATTAATGAATCCACACTTAAGTAGATAATGTTGAATGTTTGGTACTGACCTTCACACACACCCACACACATCTTCCCACAGTAAACTCCAGACACATTTGATGACGCACAAGTTTGCTTTGAGAAGAGAAAGGTTTTTGGTAAGTTTCAGTTTTATGATTTCAGTTCGTGCTTGACAACGAAAGAGAGAGGACGTGTGAACAACCGCTAACGGGGCACGGAGCCCATGGGCTCAACCCAACCCCACCCCACCCTCTCTCACGCTGTTTCTGTCAGCCAGGCAGAATAGCTGAATCGCAACTTCTAACGCAGACTCATTACCGAGTCTTTTGATTTCTGAGTGAATTAACTTAAGAAAGCGCGTCGACAAAACGCTTTACCATCAACGTGTACCGAGGGCAACTCTGGACCGGTTCCTTTCGACACCTACGTCTCCTGTCAGCCGCCGGTGTCATCTGGATGAACTACAACATCCTTCACGGCCCGGATCCGAAAGAGGGTCCACAAGAATTCGGTGAGACAGAACACGGTGTTTAGCGTTTGGATGCATCTTTTCCAACTAAACCTAAGTTTATTCAAACCATCACTTTTCACTCAGACACCTGTTTATTCCTGAAGCAAAATCAGATGCACACACGCATCCATCTCACCTCATCTCACCACACCTTGCACCCACACGCATCCATCTCACCTCATATCACTCTCACAACTCACAACATTCTCAATCTTCATAAATTCACCAGAAGGTCTATTTGAGCAAGAACAGCATATAAATTGTTAAAAGATTGTCCCACAAAGTTGCCAATGTGATTGTTATTTCCTGTTTGTCTATTTTCAAAATCATTAGTTTAATTTGAAGGATTAAAACTTTTAATCCTTCAAACTGGTTTCCTCATTGAACTGAAACACAGACACTCAGATATTATCGGCAGTTTATCGATGAAAACAACCTTTGAGTCTTCTGAACAATATAAAATTTGGTTATTGATTTATTAAAAATTAATATTCCGAATTAATACGTAGCATGGTTCCTCTTTCATAAAAGAGCATAGAACCACAACGCTACATTAATATGGTATCACTGTGGGGTTGAATACTGTTGATCAAAAGTGGAATGACCCAGTGGAAACAGCGATTTTCCATTTTAGAGCATTTTGAAATCACTGAAAGTTTGGTCATTTATGGGCAATTTAAAAAGGCCTTTATTTTAGAACGCACCATCAGAATGACTTGATATTGATATGGTATCACTGTGGGGTTGTATATTGTTGATCTAAAATGGAATGACCCAGTGGAAACAGCAATTTTCCATTTTAGAGCATTTTGAAATCACTGAAAGTTTGGTCGTATATGGGCAATTTAAAAAGGCCTTTATTTTGGAAAGCACCATCAGAATGACTTGATATTGATATGGTATCACTGTGGGGTTGAATACTGTTGATCTAAAGTGGAATGACCCAGTGGAAACAGCAATTTTCCATTTTAGAGCATTTTGAAATCACTGAAAGTTTGGTCGTATATGGACAATTTAAAAAGGCCTTTATTTTGGAAAGCACCATCAGAATGACTTGATATTGATATGGTATCACTGTGGGGTTGGATACCGTTGATTTAAAGTGGATTGACCCAGTGCAAACAGCAATTTTCCATTTTAGAGCGTTTTGAAATCATTGAAAGTTTGGTCGTATATGGACAATTTAAAAAGGCCTTTATTTTGGAAAGCACCATCAGAATGACTTGATATTGATATGGTATCACTGTGGGGTTGTATACTGTTGATCTAAAGGGGAATGACCCAGTGGAAACAGCAATTTTCAGTTTTAGAGCATTTTGAAATCACTGGAAGTTTGGTCATATAAATTGGCAATTCAAAAAAATTTAAAAATTAAATTAAAAATTTCAAAATGCTCTAAAATGGAAAATTGCTGTTTCCACTGGGTCATTCCACTTTATATCAACAGTATACAACCCCACAGTGATACTATATCAATATGAAGTTATTCTGATGGTGCTTTCCAAAATAAAGGCCTTTTTAAATGGTCCACAATTGACCTACCTTTAACGATTTCAAATGTCGTATATGGGCAATTTAAAAAGGCCTTTATTTTGAAAAGCACCGTCAGAATGACTTGATATTGATATGGTATCACTGTGGGGTGGTATACTGTTGATCTAAAGTGGAATGACCCAGTGAAAACAGCAATTTTCCATTTTAGAGCATTTTGAAATCACTGAAAATTTGGTCGTGTGTAGGCAATTTAATAAGGCCTTTATTTTGGAAAGCAACATCAGAATGACTTGATATTGATATGGTATCACTGTGGGGTTGGATACCGTTGATTTAAAGTCGATTGACCCAGTGCAAACAGCAATTTTCCATTTTAGAGCATTTTGAAATCATTGAAAGTTTGGTCATACATGGGCAATTTAAAAAGGCCGTTATTTTGGAAAGCACCATCAGAATGACTTGATATTGATATGGTATCACTGTGGGGTTGGATACCGTTGATTTAAAGTGGATTGACCCAGTGCAAACAGCAATTTTCCATTTTAGAATGTTTTGAAATCATTGAAAGTTTGGTCGTATATGGACAATTTAAAAAGGCCTTTATTTTGGAAAGCACCATCAGAATGACTTGATATTGATATGGTATCACTGTGGGGTTGTATACTGTTGATCTAAAGGGGAGTGACCCAGTGGAAACAGCAATTTTCAGTTTTAGAGCATTTTGAAATCACTGGAAGTTTGGTCGTATAAATTGGCAATTCAAAAAAATTTAAAAATTAAATTAAAAATTTCAAAATGCTCTAAAATGGAAAATTGCTGTTTCCACTGGGTCATTCCACTTTAGATCAACAGTATACAACCCCACAGTGATACTATATCAATATGAAGTTATTCTGATGGTGCTTTCCAAAATAAAGGCCTTTTTAAATGGTCCACAATTGACCTACCTTTAACGATTTCAAATGTCGTATATGGGCAATTTAAAAAGGCCTTTATTTTGAAAAGCACCGTCAGAATGACTTGATATTGATATGGTATCACTGTGGGATGGTATACTGTTGATCTAAAGTGGAATGACCCAGTGAAAACAGCAATTTTCCATTTTAGAGCATTTTGAAATCACTGAAAATTTGGTCGTGTGTAGGCAATTTAATAAG